GAAACTCTTACCTGTTTGCAGCAGATCTTTGTGTGGTGCTGAGTGTTAAGCTGATGTTAGGCTTGATGTTCCATATCTATGCATATTCATGAAGTGAGCGATTTTCAGATGTGCTTAATATCTGCATCTTCTGTCAAATTTAAGGCGCCACCTCTGGCAATGCTCATACCAGGCTGTGACTATGGCAAGAACAAGGATGAAGCTTTTATGGCAGAACAGTGCATCAGACAGCAAGACTGAGACAAATGTTATAGTAAGAAAAAGATCCCAAATCCATCTTTTAAATGAGTAACTTAAAATCACAGTAGACTTCAGCTCCTTCAGCAGACTCTAGACAGGCTGAACTTTGTAACTGCTGAACTTCAGGGAGCTGCAGAGAGGGGTCAGTTTCAAAGAGTAAAACATAAAAGTAATGTATATTTTGTTTTGAAAAAGCTTGAGTAACACATGGGAATTTATTTATTACATTTCTTCACTGTTTCAAGATACTAGTTTTTAGAGCAACTGGCTGTAACTAAGCTTTTCAGGAATGCTGGCTCAATATTTCTCCTTATAAGCTTTGAAAGCATTTCCTACAGATGAGTCCTTGTTTTTACCTGTGCAGGTAAGACAGAAGCTTTTAAGTATATAACCTTACCCTGATGCTTTCATGGTAGTAGGGCTTGGTGGATATTCATTCCCACACCTCTGGACCATTTCCCTGACTAGCACTGGCAGTCCTCTTCTGCAGAGCCATAAGGACTGCCCAAGTCTGCTCTATTAAGCTCACCCATGACGTTGCAACTGGCACTAAGTGACCTTTTTGCTGGCAGCTTTTGGCAAGAGATGAACTGTGGAGCCTGCACTCCACCATGCTCCAAAGGTAGCAGAGAACAGAAACATGCTGGCCAGTCTGAGGAAAGCTGATGCCACTATTGCTTGGTCTACAAACAAAGGACTTCTGTCTCCAAAGCTGAGAAGCCCCAGCCTTTTTCCAAGCTGTGACTCTGTTTGAAAAACAAGCCTGGACCCAGTTGAGTGAGTGAGCTGTGTAGTCACTGGTGTAGTTTGCCCACAGTTTCTCTGGGTTCAGCAATAGGTTTGGCTTCTGTCCTAGAATAACAGGAGAGGCACAGCAGTTAACTGGCTTTGGACCCATGGCAATGTATTGAGGGAACCTTTCCTGTTTGTTAACATGAGTTACCTGAGAGCAGGTGGGAGGGCTTTGGGGAACCACAGGGGCAGCTTTGGCCTTGAATTCTTGTTTTGCTAATGGGCAAAGTTGTAGGATGTCCTGCTCAGCCTGTCATTCTGTTCCATTATGTCATTACCCTCACAACTTGCAGGAGTTCCATTGTGTCATTACCCTCACAGTTTGCAGGAGTGTCTTCCAGTGCTCAGTTCAACTGACCAAGTCCCTACATCTGAATCTCATGATGCCCTTGTCAGCAAGGATGATAAACCTTTCCTTCCACACCCAGCGCTGTTTCTTCCCTCACCTCAAGGTACTTTTCCATGTGCAAATTAGACCTGACTGCTTTACTTCTCATCTGTTTTGGAAGATGCTTTCATACCATCATTACAAAAGCAGTGGGGAACATGTACTCAAGTAAAGGATTTAGCAACATAGATTTTTGGTTTTTTTGCATTTTTGAGTGGTTAAGCAAGTTCTTTCTATTTCTGTATTTTTAATATCAACAAGGAAGTTTAAGAGAAACAGAGTTGTTCTATACTTCCCAGCAAGGGATCAGTATTTGCCATGGTGATCAGTTTTAACACGTATCAGCTTGGTTTCTTAGGAAAAAAAATAACATTTGCTCTTCTAGGAAACATTTTCAGTGCCATTGGTCTAAGAATAGCAATCTTCATTCTGTTGCATCTCAAATTTCAGAAGTATGGCTTATCTTTTATTGTGCATGCAGTACAGAGATTATTTCAGATGAAATACCACTCTGTTCTGCTGAAACATGAAGAGTTTATAGTGCTTCATTCTGTGGTTGATTGCATTGTTTTTTTCCTAACCAAAATTAATTCATGAATAAAGAAACCCATCATGGCCTCTTCTCTCTGTGCACATCAGTTGCTTGGTGACCCCTATGGGAACAACAGTGCTGAAATAGTTGAAGTGGCAAACAAGTCCCTGGCTGCACATTTAAGCCCTGAAAAAAAAAACAAACAAACACCCTATAGTTTCAGGCAACTTCCAAGAACAGAGACAAAGCTACAGCCCTGTGGCCTAGGAGATCTCTGTCATTGCAATGCTGGTGGAGCCAGTTCAGCTCGCTCCCTGCAGAGCAGGCAGGGGCAGTGCCAGTCTTACAGGGAAGTAGGCAGTGTGACTGCCCAGAATGTTGTAGAGGTTGCTGAGCAAAGAACTGAAACTGTATCCTTTACTCGGGACTTTGATGTGTTTAACCCAAGTGTTGGAGGCAGGACATACTCCTAAAGGACTTTTTGAGCTGGAACAGCTGTGAAGATATGTTACGTACCTTGGAGCATCTCAGAATGGACGGAAGGCTGGATATCTAAGCTACCCCTGGTACCCAGAGCAGGCACTGCCAGTTCTCTCAGCTGAACTTAAGCCTTTGAATCCCGCTGAGGACTGGCAGCAGAGGGGCCAGAACCCACTGAACAAAAAGATGGTCTAGGATCCTGGGCTATTGCCATACATCAATCCCTCTGGGCACAGCAGAGGGCAGGCACATGGAGGCAGGCCCTCCTCACACCCCACCCTGCACCAATCCCACAGAGCAGATTGGCCAGAGGAATGTGTGTTCTCCTGCTCTTCTTCACCTGTCAACAAGCACCTTGGTGCTCCCAGGGAAACAGAACCTTGCAAGAAAACCAACTGTTAGCTATAATTTAAAAGATTTTCTTCTTCAGCTTCACCTCCCTGCCAGCCTTGTTTAGGGAAGTTTTAATAGCGTCTGGCTTCTCTTTGGTCTTGTGTACAAGACGAGGAAGTTTTCATCTGTGCCTTTAAAAAAAGCTTGCATCCCTGCCAAGATGTATTAGGAGAGCTGTAAAAAAGGAGTCATCATGTTCCAGGAGCACGAGGCTTATGTAACAGGGAAATCCTAAAGAAAAGATACTTCCCCACCCCGCGCATGCTTTTCCAAGGCACATGCCACTTCAGGGGTTTCAGATGCTCAATTTGGATTTTGATCACATCTGCCACTGGTTTATTCAGATGTATTTACAAATATATTCTCCCGCATCCCCTCATTTGTACATGCCATAGAATGTTTCTATAAAATGCAGTGCGGACCTCACCTCACCACAAGGATCTTTAAATAAAATATATTGTAAAGTGCCAGATAATTCTTTTTAAAAACACAGTTCTAATTAAAACAAGATACTTGGCCACTGCGTTAGCAGCTCCGTATACTGATACATTTTTAGCACAGCAGTCTATTTCTGTCAGGTGAGCAGGAGGCTCTCATACCACCCCTCTAGCTCTCCAGTTTCAAGTCCAACGGCTTTAGAAAATGAGGCAGAGGCAGGTTGTCCAGAGCCTCTGGAAAATGCTCAGGTGAAATGGTCCTGATCAAGACACGCATGGCTCCAACAAACAGTGATGGGGGAGCTAATCCCACCAGGCACTGGAACCTGCTCACCCCCAGGAGGTCCTGCCACCGCTGCCGGTTGTCCAACAGTTGCTGTTTCATTGTGAACTGGAGGTCCTGAGGCACGAAGAAGAAGAGGCAGTCGAGGCAGAGGAGCTTGGCACGCATGTTAGCTGCGGGCGCGTGGGAGATCTGCTGCAGCAAGGTGTCCAGGGGGGTATTCCCGGCACTGTCCTGCAGGCAGGGTGACGCACCGTGCCCAAGCAGCAGGAGCAGGCACTCAGGTCGCACCAGTTCGCAGGCCACGTGCAAGGCTGTCTTACCACCCTCCACACGGCTGCAGCCCCTGCGGTCCAGGTGGCTGGCTCTGTCGCTTGGTGGGAAGGCCTGGATGGCCTTGAGGATTCGGAAGAGAACCCGGACCCGATTGTAGCGGACAGCCATGGCCAGGTGCGGGGCCGAGGACTGACAGCAGCTGAAGCTTTGACTGGGCACAGCCAGGGCGCTCTCAGGGAACTTAGTCAGGAGGTGCCGGGCATAGGGCTGGTGGTCGTGCACCAGCGCATAGAGCAGGGCCTCTGAGGGCGAGTACACACTCACCTTGCCCCCGTCCTCCCAGTGGAAGACCTCCATGGTCCGCATGTCCTCCAGGAACCAGACAGGCAGCAAGTCCCTCACTGCCTGGTAGAAGGCGAAGGAGGATTTCTTGCACTGCTTCTGTGACTGGGCCCCGTGGCCGCCGACCCACCGGACGCTCCAAGGCATGACGGGCAGCTGCGCTCCGCCGGGGGCTGCCTCCCACCCTGGCGCGCAGAGGCCGCATCGGGCCGGGACCTGCGGGAGCGGAAGGACGGTCAGTCCCGAACTGCCGGAGCTCCCTGCGCTGCTGCAGCCTCCCCGCCACCGGCACAGGGGAACACCGAGCCGCGGCGTCACCGGACACACCCCCGGGGTAGGGGACACCCGCGCCGCTGCGCAAGGAAGCTCCCTCCCGGCGGCGAACGGGACTCCCGCCTCCCCGCGCTGAGCCGGACGCCCGAACCCCCGTGCCCGGGAAGCCGCGCTGCCGGCGCTCACCTCCCGCTGGCCCCGCGGTGCTCGCTGCTCGTGGCCGCCGCCGCCGCTGCAGTGAAGGGGCGCGCAGGGAGGCGCGAGCTCGGCGCGCCGCCGCGGGGGCCCTTTTATCCCCACCCTCCGGCCCGGGCGGTGAAGGTCGGTCAGGACCGGGGAACTGTCCAGCCGCCTCCGATTGGCTGCCGGCCCGGCGCCCCCGGGCGCCCATTGGCTGCGCGCAGGGGACGGGGCCCGGCACCCGCGCGTGCGTCAGGGGAGGCGAAGTTCCAAGAAACTTGGCTGCCGCCGGCGGGCGGGGCCGGGGCATGGCCGGGGGTGCGGGAGCCGGGGGGTGCGGGACAGGGGCTATGGCGTCCGGGGGGGACGTGGGAGACAGGGGGCGTGGGAGCCAGGGGTGTGGGCTCCTGGGAGCATGGGGTCCTGCGTTTATGGGGTGCAGGGCACACAGGGACCTGGACACATGGGGCTCCTGGGAGCATGGTGTCTAGACCACAGGGAGAGCTGTGCACAGGGACCATGGGACACCGGGACTCCTGGGTGTAGGAGGCTGCAGCCACACTGTGCCCATGCACACAGGGTCCCGGGCAGGCGGTGTCACCTCCCTGCCTGCCCTGGCAGGGCTCAGACTGGCCCAGGCCAGTTCTCAGCTCACCCTCTGCTCGTCCCCTGCAGGTGGCCCTGGCCAGAGGCTGGCGCTGCCCTGGAGCCAGTGCTGCTCGTGGGCTCCCACATGTGTGTGCACATGTGATTGCTGCAACACTCGTGTCTCTTGCTTGTCTCCCAGGTGGTGACATTTGCCTGCAGCCCTTCCTGCTGACAGTTACCTGTCAGATTTTGGCTACAGAGGAGCGAGGAGGTGGTGGTGGTAAAGGGTGAGCCTGGCACTGCTGGCAGCTCTGCACCAGGGACTCCCTCCCCTGGGCATCTGCAGTCCCTTGGCTCTAAAATACGTAGAGGTAACAGCTACACACTGGTAAAGCAAGTGCTGTTGTTACTGGGATCTACTCTCTCATAAGGCCTCCTTGCTGATAGCAAATCCTGGGATCTGCTCCATCCTTGCACCCCTCCCCCCCCCCCCCCCAGCAGGTTCAGAGCATTTCTCTCTTTCTCCCTGTGTGTTTGACTCCCAGTGTCTCCCCCACTTGCCACCATCTCCCTCTCAATCAGGAAGGTGTGATCAGGCTCTCCACAGGTGGGTAATGCCGGTCACTGTCAGGTTCATGGCTGACAGCTCTGGTTTCTTCATCCTTGGGGCTCCCCAGCCTTCCCCTCACGGGTATGGGAGCACAATATCTGCTGATCACTCCGGGAACAGGCAATGCTTTCCACATGCCCCAGCATGATGTGTGTGTGTGCACACTATGGATACTGCCAGCCATGTGCTGAAGTGTCCCGCTTCCTTACAGCCCTCTCTGGGAAGCTGCTTGGAGTGGCAGGGAGGGAGCCTGCAGGATGCTGCCAACCATCCCCTCTACCCCAGTGAGAACGAAGCTGTCAAGGAACAACCACTGCCTTTGTCATGCCTCTTGTGAACCGCCATTCAGCCAGGGAAACAATGCTTAAGCTGTGCTTCATTTGCTTTGTAACTTCTTCCCTACTGTGTTATGCTCACACCAAAACCCAGGTCCCTGTGAGGAGATGCAGGCAAGTGGGTGAGCTGGGCAGGACACTGCACACAGATGTCACACTCCGCAACATTTGGTGACCACATCTGAATGAAGAGAAACTGGGGTAATGTTCGCTGAGCTGCTCTGCTGGACAGAATTAAGTCCAGTGTTTGTCAGCGCAATTCGTCATCCAAGTATCTGCACAGATCCACCACAGCTCCTGGGGTCTCAGGTGTCAGCCGTGGCACGGAAAATCCTCTTTCATCACTCGTGTCGGATTCCAGATGAAAACTCATTAAAGACAACCATTTCCACCACCCCATGCTGTTGCCAGGCACTCACCTGTCATCACTTGCATCCTATTACTGCAAGCATGGGATGATTTCTACCAAAGTTTGGGATCAAAATAAATGGTTTTAAACCAGCTAATTCTGTAGCTCTTCCTTTGTGTCCAGTGCAGCCTCACCCACCTGTGCCTTGCTGCCTGTCACTGATGGTAGTGGCACCTGCTGCATCTCTGTGTGTTGCCTGCTCTGGGAAATGGCCTTGCCCAACGACCAATCCCAAATCCACTCCCTGCCATCACTGGGACATTGGCATCGATTTGTATGTCCAGGGTGATGATAAGCCATGTTGCCCAGCCTTTTCTACTCCCCTTCTGCACATGCCTGGATAAGCCAAGTGGTGTCAAAGCTGAAAGGCAAGGGATTAGAATAGTTGCAAAACCAAATTGGGTTTTCTGTAGGATATTAATGCCTTTGGCGTAGAAGTGGGGTGTTTTTTCTTGGTCCAAGCGCTCCAATGGAGGTAGGGGGACCAGCTGTGACTGTAGAGTGCTATGGGCCCCAGCAGTGGCTTAAAAACAGGCCAGAGCATGCTGCGTCCCTCACTGCCCCAGAGCTGGCTCCTATCTGCAACATGTATTTGTCACATACATTTGAAGCAGAAGCCTGCCTGTAGGCAAGGCAGCCTGTTTTCACTGGAGCAAAAGTATTACATTTGCCCCCAAAATTGTTCATCGAGTGCCCAGCACTAGCAGTGAAGCACAACAACCCAAAAAGGTTTTAATTTTGTGGTGTATATTTTATGTGCAGACCACGGGCATGCCTCGTTTGTTTGCAGTCCAGCCTGCTTTTAATCACTTTGAATTAAGTAACTGATCTTATTACTGATCCGACTGTGAGAGGGGTTATCATAGGTTCCTTGGCATACGACAAAGATTACTCCATCTGTGCAACCACTTCTGAGCAATGTGAGGTGTCCTCTCGGAGCTGTTTTCTTCACCCTCCTACAGGACACTGATCTTTTGGTTTCTTGAGCACATTGATCCTTTGCTTTTTCCAGCCAGTGACAAATTAAAACCCCCTTAGTGCGACTGAAACCCAGCCACGTAATGGGACGAAGGGAAAAGCTCTGCTGTTTCTTCTAGCAGATGTTATTTGTTTCCTGAGGTTTTCATTAAATAAGGGCAGGATCATACTAACTTAATGGGCTTGATTGTGGGTGTAATTAAAAGCACCATGAAAATAGGCAGTTATCAGGGTGCATACTGAACATAGTTAATGTTTAGTGCTGGTTTTGAGCATGAGATGGAAGCTGGGCAAAGAGTACATCCCTCATCTTTGAAAAGGGCTGAAAGATACAGGTTTTACTCCAGTCCTTGCAAGGATTTTGTGTGTGAGTTTGACTGTGAACATTTACCTGTCTCCTTTCAAAGGTCAGCAGAGTTTGGACAGCAACCCTGGAGCTGTGGTGGGGTGGAGCAGCAGAACTCCGCTTTGCTTTAAGCCTCTGGCTCCGGGGTCTTTGTCAGCAAGTCAGATAGGAACAACTGATCTCCCAGTTAGGTAAAATTAACATCTTCAGAGAGAAGCAATGAGTGCTGGCAGTTTGCAGTAAGGGCACTCGGCTGGATCTTCCCCTCCCACAGCAGGGACTTCATTGACCTCCAGTCTGCGGTGCCACCAGCATCCCATTTGCAGAAGGGGTGCAGTAATGCTGCTTTGACCATCTTGGTTTAGCCCATGATTTCTGCAGGTCAGGGATAGTATGCAAGTGTATCAGTTTGGTCCTTGAGGTTCTGGCTCTGCATAGGGACCCCTCTGCTCTGCTGTGTTAGACAGGGAATAGAGGCTGTTCATCCAGCTGTAGCCTGCGGGGACACAAGAAGGCAGAGCTGCTAGCAGTCTACATGGGACTTGCTCTCCTTTGGTGAGGACATGCCAGGTGAAGAGGTGAATGGCAGACCCAAGCACCTCTGCTTAGCTGTGATGAGTAATAGCTGCTGCTGACACCTCGTGGAAGCCTTAGATAAACATTTTCTCCAGAATACCCTCTGTTTCCTTTTCTCTGCTGCTGCTGTTTCTCCATCTGAGGAGCTCACCCTTTATTTCTATCATCTCCAGAGCACCCAGCCGGGAAGCAGGCAGCAGGGCCCTCAGCTGCTTACAGGACCAGGAATGGGAAGGCAGCCAAGAAAGGCTGCCCAGGGACTGTCCTTTACCTCTCTGAGGAAGGCATGTGTTCTCCCTGCGCTGTGGTGAATGCAGCTCACCATGGGTGTCTTTTTCACATCAGATGCAGAGAGGAAAGCATCCCACTCCTATACTCACCTGTCTGAAACATCCATTGTGTACATGCCTTTTGTGTGCCTGTTTTGCCCATCTCCATTTTTGGGGGGCATATTGGCAAGTGCTGTTATAAATCACTCTGTCATTTCAGAAGCGCAAATATCTATGGGGAAGAGTCACAGAAGTTTTCCTGGGAAGTGAGAAAGTGTGTTTATTTGAGAAGCAAGACTGCCGAAGGTGTTGCTGGGAGTCAGCAGTGGTCTGGGTTGGGCCATTGCTGCTGGCTCCATATCTGAAACCATCAGACAACATCACTCTGTCCAGGGGTGGAGTCACGGCCTTGAACCCTGTTCTCACCACTCATCTCTGCGCTGTCTCGCTCATCACTCACAGCACCCACATCTTCTTCCTCCTCAGTCTTCTTTTGTATTAGTCACTCTCTACTTGCCTGACTTCATATGAATCATCATTTCACATTAAGCTTGAGCTGCCCATAACCCTGGCTGCTTTGGTTTCTCTGCTGTGCTATAGAATCAGCTCCATCCTGACCCACAGCATGAAAGGAAAATCTGCTTTGGAAACAGCAAAGTGAACAAGTCTTCTCTTGTTACTCTTGTTTCCTGGCTGCTGCAGAGTGAATGTGACACCCTTCCAAAAATTTGCATCCCAAATGCTGCCTGGGAACCTCAAGCGAAGCTATCGAATACTTCATTTTGGAAAGGAAATCTCTTCACCAGCTCTGGAGGAAGTATGTAACATGTGGTTCGACTGCAGTCAAACGTCAGTCTTGGCCGATGGGAGGCTGAATGTACGGCTCAACTGGTGTCACTGATCTGCTGAGGCTGGCAGTGCCCACTGGTGGGATAACACAATTTTTAAGGCTTTGAAACTTGTTTTTGAACTCTTCTTCCTTGACAGGGAAAAGTGGTCTGGCAGAAGTGAGGTGGGCAGCCAGGTGATAAGGTCCCTCAGTGGCAGCCACCTCACAAGCCCTCAAGGATGGTCACAGCCCATCACCAGGGTCCTGTTTGACTGGGTTTGCAGGCCACTGCTCATTAAACCTTGATTTTGGCACCTGTAATAAATGAGCCATGTTCATCCTTTTGGAAACCTAGGCAAATTCCAAGAGCTGCAGCAGAGATTAATTTTGACCCAGCAAGTTACAGGGGGAAGCTGAAAAGTGTACTTGTCCCTTAAAAGACAAAACACACCTTTTGGGGAGCCTTTCTGTTTTGTAAGCAAGGAGACGACAGGGGTCAGAGAGCTCCTGGCGCCTGTGGACGATTTTGGCCTTCAGCTTGATGTTGGTTGTTAAAAATATTTCCCCAGATGTATTAATACAACCAGACTGGATTGCATCTGAGCTGAACATCGTGAGCCTAAGGCAGGACATAAATATAGAAGCAAACCAGGCTGACATAAGAGTCATCTGTCCTCTTCTACACAAGAAGCGAAAGGGAAAGAGAGACAGCTTACTCTGTTGCAATTTTTAGATGCTTCCAGGCATTAGCTTGGGCTTCTGCGAGTGCCTGCCCCGGGGCCCTGGGGCACAGCAGACCCCATGTATCCCTCGCTCAGCCCCCCGCATGCTGTGCCACAGGACTGAGCACTCAGCACATTTTTAACCCAGGGTTAGATTTGCTTAGACAAGGTCTGCAATTGGGAATGACTATTTGATGTGTTTGCCTAACAGGATTACCCTTATCATAATGATATTGCAACCTGGCCTTGGCAGGGCAAACCCCAAGGTCTCAAGGGGTCAAACCCTCACCTCCCTTGCCCCAGATATGCACAGCAGAGCTTGCCTCTTAGCATGCAATATCCAGCCAGTGTTTCAGTTGGCATTTAATACTCTGCTTTTGGAAATGGCTCTTTTGCTGTGTACCACAGACTGCAGACACCACGCTTGGAATTCATCTCTCCACATCTGAAAAAAAATAAAATCAATAATATTTGAAGGCTGGAAAAACAATGCAGTGTTTTACAATTAGAGAACTGTACGCCTTCCCTGTTGGGAATTGCCCTGAGCAGGTGCCTGACTGAATTCAGTGTGAATTTGTTGTCCTCTGGCTCCCTAAGAATAGGTAATGAACCAATGAGTTGCCTGCTTTTTTTGTACTGTGTATCGTGAACATGCCTAAAATCGTTACAGAAGCATCTGTTTGTCCTAAAAGTGTATCTGTGGTTATTAAAGTCTGCTGACTTAAAAGACTCGAGGAAGGTGTAGGATGAAAGCTCTGTTTTCCTGCAGGTAAATAGGATAACAGCTTTGCTAAAGCAGAACCTGACTCCACTGATGGCTGGCACCCAGACATGTCCACTCCAGTCTCTGGCAGAGTGAGGGGCATCTCATTGCTCCCTGGCAGTGTCACTTTAAACCCAGCACTTTTCAGACCAGCTAAGATGAGCCTGGCCTTACCACCTCTCTGGGGTATTTGCAGAAGCAGAACCTGCTGCTTGCTATTTGGGGATTCCAAAACAAGCAGGATCCTCTATTTATAATGTGATATAATGTTCTTGAATGAAACCTGTGCTTCTCTGGGCTTTAGGGCCACAAGACTGCTGGTGCAGCAGCACCCTCATTCCAGGGAATGCTGCTGGGAATGCTGAGATAGTTCTGCATAAAACCAAGGGATGCGTAGGTACGTAGTGTGAGCCATACATTCACAGGCTCCTGGGTTTTGGAGCAGGCTGTGCTTGTCAGGGCTGTGTTGATCCCCTTCTCTAGATGAGGTTTGGAAGGATGGATCAAGGCAGAGAGATATCTTCCCACTGCAGCAGCATCACTGTGGAGATGCTCGGGTTGCTGAAGGGAGTGTTAGTCTAACCATCTTTTTTTCCCCCCAAGGCATGTGAGCAGGGCCCTGTGACTTGGAAACGATCTATTCAGTGATTTCAGTTCACCTGTGATTAGTCTGTTAGTTTAATCTTGGTGGTGTGTGTGGCTGTTCACATCCTGCTGTTCAGAGTGGAACTGCTCTGACCTCGTAGCTCATTGCAGGACAAACTCCTCCTCTCCAAGACAAAGCAAACCAGCCACCTCTTTTTTGGAAGCAGGTACATACAGTATAATGCTTACCCAGGGGTTGTAGCTGATCTGGTTTTGCTGTGATAAATCCCTCTGCCATTTCAGCCATAAAACATGATAAATATGAGGCCAAGCAGAAAGATTAAAAAAATAAGTAAATAGTGACTAATGCTTCGCATGTCTTTGAGGACTTATTTAACTCCCATTTGTTCATTCTCTCCACTCTTGGCTGCCACTGTGTCTGTTGAAATAACAAACAGGGATGAGGAAAGAGGGCAGCTTTGTCAGGAGCTTCTTCCTGTGGGAAGTGGCTGAGTTACAGCAGTTAACTCTAACGGCAACTGCAGCCTCAATAGGCAGATGATCATCTGTCATATGCACCCCAATAGGAAACTGTTGGGTCTTGTCCGAAAAAGACTGGATTCTCAGTCAAAAGCCTTTCTGCTGCAAAGTGGTGTTTAGAAAGAGTCTGTCTTTTCCTTTCGTTTTGTACAAAAATAGAAGTCTCTGATGCTGCCTGAAGCTGCTCTGCTGCCAAGAAAACCTCCCAGGTCTGGTGATGAGGCCTCTGCAATATTTCCAGGTTCTGCGATTATTTTCTAATGAAAGTTTCAAACCCAGGTATGATCAGGAGGTTCAACCATAGCACATTCACAGCAGGGCTTCTCAGTTTGCTTTTCTTCTTTCTACATCAGTACCTATCCCCTATGTAGAGGCAATAAGATAATTTTGTGCATATAAATGTACCTAAAATCAGGGTGACAATGCCTTTTACTTGCTGGATTTGGCACCAGCGTCATTTTATGCAATTCTCCATTTGGAAGCATTGCTTTTGCACTGAAATTATTGTAACTGCCTCATCATGTTTGTCCATTAGTGCGTCTTTTCATGGCTTAGTAAGTGGCTGAGGGATTAGGATGCAGCTCCCCTTGCCCTTCTGCACATGCAATGTAGGGAAATGGGAAGACTGATGTTTCCAAGGTGCTGCCAGTTTTTTGGGTTGTCTTCAGCCCTGAAAACAGAAATAAAAAAGGGCTGAAAAGGTGATGTAAAGTATCAGGTAGGTGAGATGGATGACAAAAATAAGCCAGGCATATACCAGCAATGCTGGTATAAACAGAGAAAGTGAGAAGCACCCGAACCCAGCTGCTTAGCATGGCAGAAAGGTCGGCTTTGCTCCCTGCCACTGCCTGAGCCATGCAAGGGCCACGGCATTCTCCCTGTTGGCTCTGCTCCCTGGACCTCTCCTGTAGCCCTGCTCAGATATCAGGTCTGGGACAGGCTCAGCGGGCTCACCACCACCTTCCATCTCAGCAGCAGGGCTGCCCACGGTGGAGCAGACGCCATTGCAGTGAGCAACGTGTTTGGAGCACACACTTTTGGGTTTTTTTAATGCAGAAAGTTGTGAAGCAATCGGAGAAGCCATTGGGGTCCTTCAGCCATTCCCCCAGAGCCCGGTCCCCATGCTGGCCACGCAGCCCATCTGTGTGCCCTACACATCCCAGCAGGGTCTGTCACAGACGAGGGTTGTTTGATGGGCTTGGGGGTGCTGCTGCAGCATGTCCTGAATCACCCAGCAGTATAGGTGGGAATTTCACCTCAACGAAATGAGGATTTTTACTGAAGCCAATAGAAAAGCAGGTAAAACAAGCAGGAGGAAAGGTCTATGCATGGTGAGTTACAGCCCCAGAGGCTGGAAATGCATAGAATAATGAGTTATAGTGCATGCTAAGACGTGTTGCAGGAGACAGACGAAATACTCGGGTTCCCTCTTCACATCTGCCAACCTCTAGCCCCACTCTTTTGCTTCCAAACCAGGGATGACAGAATATGAAGTGCCTGAGTGCCAGTCTGCAGCCAGGTGTTTCAGCTTGAACTACTGAGGAAAGTGGGTCTGGGCTAATGTATTAGTTAATTAGGTGTTATTTATTTATCTAATTAATTAATTAGATAAAAAGATGTAGGTCTTGGAGTAGTGCTTGTGCTTAGGAGAGGTAATGCTGTTGGGCTCTTCTAAGTAGTGTCACAATTTGAGATTCCCTTATGCTCGTGATTGGGTTTAGACCACAAGTAATGTAAGTTTTCATATCAGTTTTTTCCTGGAAACCTTGCTGCTGTCTCCGAGGCACAACCATTCCTGTAGATGGGCTGCTCTTGCAATTCATGTGCTCTGTGAAGCAGAAAGGAAAACATTTTGGCCAGGGTTCAAGTACCTTTGCCTGTTGTCCTGGATAAGTGCCTGACAAGAGATCAAGGTCTTTGCTTGTACAGGATAAAAGCAGCTTTTCTTAAGTTGTTGCTGGTATGCCTGGACTCCCTGAGGGCGCTGCTCTGGTGCTTCCAGTGGCTGGGCTGGACTTCGTGAGTAAGGTGAGGTTTGCTGTGTGGTCTGTAGTTTGTCCTGGTTCAGAGGTGAGCTTCCAGGTTTTCAGTCTCTGGCATGCAGGAGCATGGGATGGTAGCCCATTGCAGTGATCCTTGGAAGCAGCCAAGGGTGGTTTTAGCACCATCATTAGGATTCAGAGTTGACAGCCTGTGGAGATGAAAAGGTGAGCCTTGGTGCTGTCATTTCCAGATTTTTGTCATGGGACTGGTTCTCTGATGATGCGCTTATGCTCTCACACACTAAGTGTTTCCGAGGGCTGGCGTTTTTCAGCAGCAGTGTACGAATGGTGGAGTGTGGAAATGAGAGTTCAGAGCAGTGGGATGCAACATTCAGGCTTGCTTTTGGAATTCCACAGGGCTCAACCAGATGCCAGGAGCTGAACTCCTCGTGTTGAGAATGGAGCTGCATCCACTCTGCTCTGCCACCTTCCAGCCCTGCTCTCACAGGGCTTCCCCAGCTCTGTCTGCCTGATGCCATGGGTAACTTCCCAAAGATGGATCCTCAACTGCCTTCATGTCTGCAGAGGCTTATTAGTCATTTCCCACTTACAAACAAATGTTTTGGAGACATGGGAGAAGCTGAGCTACCAAGTGGACAAAGCTCCATTGCTTTTAAAGTAGCTCATTCATCACTGAGTTTTATTGTGCAGCAGTTCAGCCACTGGTGAATTGAAGCCACCCTCTGCTTGTGGTACAGGGAACAGAAAATGTGCTTCTCGTGCAGGCCACTTCTTAAATCTTCAGTTTGGTTTTCATCTTAAAGGTGTTACAGATGAGGTGGGTTTGTTATGAACATTTAAGGTTTTATTTTACTATTTAGAAAAAGACTTTTCATTTGCTTGTTTTAAACTTTTTTCCCCCCTTTCTTTGCAGCAAAGCCTGGGTTTGCTTCATTGTTTTTCTGCTGACGAGCCCATACTGTTTCAAGACCTTTCCTTCTTCCTTACATCCAGAGGTCCTCCCAGTTTTCTCTTAGAACACTTGCACTGGTAGGGGCAATGGGGATCTGAAGTGTAGTTGTTACTGCAAACTAAAGGCAGACAATTCAAACCAGTCCTTGCAAAAGGAGGAATCTGCTCACCTATGTTTAACTGCTATCTGGCTTTGGCACTTCTCCAATCTTCATTTCCACTTGTGTGACCTGCCTGTAGGTGTGGGCACACACATTCCTCTTGCTAACCCAGGCAGGGCATCAGGTTCCTGACATGGTTCTTGAAAATCCCATGTGAGCGAGGACATGCATGGCTTGGGGGTGAATGATTGCCAGGTCTCGCAGAGCATTAGAGTGGCAGTGCTGGAAACAGCCCCAGGGAACATCACTGTTACAAATCATCAGCCAGCCCCCTCCTTGAAGAGCTCCTTGGAAGAAAATGTTTGTGGGGCTTAAAGGGGAAAATTGCTTCTGCCACCCAGAGCAGCGGGCTGGGACAGCACTGAGCTCAACTCCCGTTGAAGCTGCTGGGGGCTCACTTCAAAGCTTAGTGTGTGTTAAGAGGTTTCTGAAAAGGGACAACTACTGTGATGCTGGTGCAGAGTGTGTTGCTCTGGGGTGTAAGCCTTGCAGGTTCCCTCTACTTTACTGCACTTCCTTAGGAGCTGGAAAACAACATTTTCCGCTGGACTTCCCCCTGCAGTGACAGCCTGGCTCTGTGTCCCTGAAGAGGATTCAGGTGTTCGATTTGGGTATCTCCAGTGACATTGATCAGGCACAAAAACGATGCTGCCATCTGAGACAGAAAAAAAAAAATTATTTTAGCTATCTTGCCCCAAATACCAAATTCTTTCTCTTTGTTGCTTTTAAAA